TTCAGCTTTTTCGTTTTAAATTACCGGCACACCCGGTTTCCCGGTACAAAACAACCACGTATCATCCCAACACGTGGCACCAACCCTACCCACCAATCTTTCCTTTCCCTTCGTATTTATATATGCTCCCTTACTCCTCTCCCACCTTTCCAAATCACTATTAACAAAAACTTTCCATCATTCTGTTAATTTCATCAAGAATTTTCCGTCAAAATCCTCTCAATTTTCTCGCACTCAATCCATATTCAAATTCCATTTTGTTCTTTTTCTTCACGTTTTCTCATTAGAATTGTAAATGAGAAACGAAAGAGGAGGAGGCACCATGGTAGCAGAACGCAATGTCCCCCACCACCACAGGCCGAAATTCGGAGCCCTTTTGCATTCCTCCGACCCGTCCTTGACGTCTCCGACAAGCACCAACGAGACCAACAATAACTACAACAGCCACCATAATGATTACTCAACACGGCGTAGCAGTGCCTCGGCGACAAGTCCTCGGTACTACGACAATAGTACCCAAGGCGGCAGCAGCACCGAGGGTTCACCCTATGTCATGTCCCCATGGAACCCTGCGACGGCGTCACCCTACAATAAGTCCCCGTGGATAACGCCGTCGTCGTTGAATCCGCTGGACGAGAACTTCCCTTTAAACGGACTCATTGGATCATTAGTCCGGGAAGAAGGCCACATATATTCGCTGGCTGTCAAAGGAGACTTGCTCTATACCGGGTCGGATAGCAGGAACATTCGTGTCTGGAAGAACTTGAAGGATTTTACGGGTTTCAAATCGAAGAGCGGGTTGATCAAAGCCATCGTAACTTCCGGCGAGAGGATATTCACCGGTCATCAGGATGGTAAGATCCGAGTCTGGAAGCTTTCCGAGAAAAATCCAAGCAATTACAGACGGGTTGGGAGCTTGCCAACTATGAAAGATTTTATTCGGAGTTCCATGAAGCCGAAAAACTACGTGGAGGTCCGGAGACACCGCAGCGTTGTTCGAATCAGACACTTCGATGCAGTGTCTTGCATGAGCATGAACGAAGAACAAGGGCTTCTTTATTCAGGGTCGTGGGATAAGTCTTTCAAGGTTTGGAGAATTGCTGATTCCAAATGCTTGGAGTCGGTCGCAGCTCACGAGGACGCAGTAAACAGTGTCGTCGTGGGTTTCGAGTCATTGGTGTTCACCGGCTCGGCGGACGGGACTGTGAAGGTGTGGAGGAGGGAGTTGCAAGGGAAGGGAACTTCGCATGTGTTGGTTCAGACGTTGTTGAAGCAAGAGAACGCGGTGACGGCATTGGCAGTGAACAAGGAGGCCGCGATTGTCTATTGTGGATCATCAAATGGGTTGGTCAATTATTGGGAGCGCGCGAAGCACTTGTCCCATGGCGGAGTTTTGCGCGGCCATAAACTTGCCGTGCTGTGCTTGTCCTCAGCGGGAAACTTGGTTTTCAGCGGATCCGCGGACAAGAACATTTGCATATGGAGGAGGGAAGAAGGTGGGGCGCACACCTGCTTGTCTGTCTTGACAGGCCACACAGGACCCGTCAAATGCTTAACCGTGGTGGAAGATCACGGCTCCGAGAACAAGGCAGGTCAGGGTTGGGTGTTGTACAGTGGCAGCCTTGACCGGTCCGTAAAGGTGTGGCGCGTGTCCGAGGACGCTCCGGACTTGAGGCAAATACGGGCGTCGGTGAAGGACGCTTCGATAAGGCAGGAAGCCGCTCGGCTCCACTATTGACAAATCCGGAGAGTCTTGGGAAGAAAATATCGTAGAGTTTGCTCTAACACGACGGTCCTTGAACGAGCGTGTAGTACACGCGCAGTCTGTTCTGGTGGTAGTCTCGCCGACAAAGCGCCAAAACGTCTAGATGAATTAAGCGGGAGGGGACCGTCCAGACCAGGCGGACCACCAGATTTTGCTTTCAAACGAAGCCTTGGAAAAAAGGGTTTTGCAAGTAAATGCAAGATACTATGAATGTGAGAGTCTGAGATAATATGTAGATATCGTTCATGCCAAAAAAAAAAAAAACCAGCATGTATAAGGTCCCAAAGGCTAAGTATTATTTGCATGGCCTAATGCAGTTTTATGAAAGCACATGCAGATGGACCGACTATAAACTCCTTAACAGATTATTCTGGGAGATTAGTTAGCTAGCTTTGTTGCCACAATTATAGGGCTTTTTCCCTATTATTAATTTGGCCAGATACAACTCTATATATACACGAGTATGACTACAGAGTAAATGTATTTACGTTCTCATGTATTTACGTTTGTAAATTCAATATTTTGACTTGAATTATAAGCTACCAAAAGCTAGCCAGCAATTTGAATTAACAAGTCCTTGATTGGTGCTCATTTCAAAAGTCATAACTACAGTCTACATATCACATTGTCACATAAATCTTATTTCAAAACATAAAAATATATTTGTCTTTCAATTATTACATACCCCAAAATAAGAAGCTAGTGAAAAAAAAAAACATTAGGACTACAAATATCAAATGTTTAAGGATATGCAAAATGAAGGAAGTTTTTTTTTCAAGGTTGTGGAGCCATTGTTTAAGTGACGATGTAGCCAGGAGGGTTCAGAGGATTTTAAAAATCTAAACAACGATGTAAGTATTGTCTAAGTGTAGAGGATGCAATCATGAGCGTTTATATATTCTTTCACCTTTTTCAACTTGTACATTAATCATAATGTACTTTTGTTTATTTTGAAATCCCCTAAAAACACTGTTCATAGGGTTTGTAGGTTTTTAAAATTCAAACTACGATATACTCATTGCCACATCGTAGAGAATGCAATCACAAGCGTTTACATATTTTTTTTTCACATTTTTCATACTTGTAATGAATTATTATGAATTTCTAAATGTGCTTTGGTATTTTTAATGTGATCGGAAATTTTTAATCCCTTATGTGAGATTAAGTACTATGGCTATTGTGGTAACTTGTAAGTTTTTTTCTTGTAAGGTTTTTTTTTAGTAGTTTAAAATTATCAAACATCTGAACGGGTTGAAACGAGTTACCTGCGTGTAAACCCGTTAAGAAACCATTATTAACGATGGGTGACTTGATAATAACCAATCGTGGTAACCCGAAACTCATTATTTTCGTATCATTTTTGTGTCATGTTAACGAGTCGTGTGAGAAATTATCAGGTATAGTACTAAAGAATCAGGTGGTGTTTGGGCTTATTTTAGACCAAGAGGAGCAAGAGATGTTGGGCTATGGGGGCCTGCTTTAAAGATGATGGATTGGACTTTTAGGCTATAATTAGAACATAATCTTGAATGCGCATGATAAAAGCATGCATGCACCCAAATCCAAACCCAATGAAAAAAAAATCTCTTGCACGTACTGATAAAAATAGAAAAGTAATGCTAGGTAAATCAATTTTTAGACTGTATTTGTAAATTATGTGATATATCACAAATAAAAAAATAAGTTCGTTAATTAATGTTTTAATAATAATCCAATCATCGACAGCCACGTCATATGATTTCCAAAATTTATTCTAAATAATTGGTCTCTCTAGCATTACCCAAAACAGAAATGGTTTGCTCATTGTAAGACTTAGCCCATGCCCCTATCCCTTGGTGTAGATACTATCGTTTATTAAAAAAAAAAAATAGAAATGGTCACCTACGCATTTGTGATGTGCGCATGGTTTGCACATGATCCATGTTGACGACATATCTCTATTTTATTGACAATATAATGACGAGACACTATGTATGTGCTATAAAAATGATGAGATATGTTGTCAATACACTATCTACCTGTGTCATATGCAAACTATGCACAACCCATGAGTACGGGTGAGCAAACCTCACGATAAATATATTGAACAAGAAAAAAAACATAAAAGCCCACTAACTGTAGGCAGATTTAGATTTTATAAGTCGAGAGAAATTTAAATGTGCTTATCTACCCGGTTTCCTTCAAAATTTTCTTCTAGGTGCTTGCATGATACAATAATACTCATTAAAAAGGTGAAGAATGTGTAAGAATCATACGATGTAATAATGGTATGACCTCATTAAAACTTTGCATGAACTTTTAACCCCGCAAAAATGTTGTTTCAAGTGTTAAGTGAGTAATCAAAATTTCAGGTGCATTAGAAGCTCTCTATTCAAATTCCCACTAGATAATCTATAGATTTTCTTGACTCTCCACCGACCAATTGAAAACTTTGAGAGTCCAAAGAAAATTTCTGGATGCTCCTCTCCTCCTATGACTGATTATTAGAAGATTAATTCAACAAACAACTTAATTATTAAACCACGTTATTATTTTTGTTGGGAATTTTAGGTATTAAATTTATTGAGTGGTCTCTCACCCATTTTGTCTGTCTCCTTTATTAAGCCACAAATCAAACATTCCTTCCTTGGTGCACTAAGGTTGGTTTGACATTACTGAAATTATTTTAAAAGTAGCTTTTTGAAAAAGCTAGAGTTAAAATTGTGTTTGGTAAATGAAAAAAGAGTTCTTTTTGTCAAAATCAAAGTTCCAAAACAACAAAAAGCAGAAGCAGCTTTACTCATACTTTTGAAAACAACGTTTTTCTTCACTTCACCTCAACCCCAAAATATGCATTTCTTTTTTCCATAAAAAGAATTGTTCTTCCTAATCCTAATGGGGGCATAAAATTATAGAAAAAAATATTAACAACTAGATATTACTTAATGATATTTGTTAAATTTTATAAAGTTAGATTAGTTAGTAAAAGGAAAATTTAGCACATTAAACGGGTACGCGTTTCTAAGTTGACCGACAAAATTGCAGCTCTGCCGGAGCTCACCGCGTCAATAATTATTCCATCATTCCATGCACCAATAAGGGACAGAAAGTGATCGTACGGACATATCAGAGGGACGAAAATACCCCTTCCACAACCAGAAAGATGTCGTTTTCGACGAAAACAAGGGAGGACTAGATTTACTTGTGTATATGTAATTGCAGGGAACCACACCCTCTCAGTTTGAAGACTCGGCCTTCCATTTGTTGTTGTGTAGTGTGGCGATTTGCTTCTCTTGTTGTTTCTGTGAGAAATTCTTAGCAATTTCGTGGCATCCGTGACATCACCGCGTGGAGAAAAATGGCAAGTCAACGATTAAGTCTTCCTCCAAGTCTGCATCTCTATACTTGCGACTTCCATCAGAGAGTTTCTGTGTTTTTTGTTATTTTGCTTCTTTGTTTTGGGCAGCGTGAGGAGGTTGTTGGAGGGTTTTACCTCAAATTTCCAGACCTTTCCTTTGATGGGTTTGTGAAAATTTTGAATTTTGCTTCCTGGGTTTTGTTTATTCCTCGTTTGGCTTCGTGGGTTTTCGAATTAAAGGGTTAAGATGGTGGGTTTTTGATATTTGTTTGTTATGTTGTTGGAATTGCTGGTTTTTTGGTGAATTTTTTTTTACCTCTGGTATGGCGTATGTGATGAGAAAATTGAGTTCTGCTATGGCCGCTTCTGGTGGGGGCGGCGGCGTCGATCCCGTAGATTTTAGCACGGAGTTGGAGTTTTCGTTTGCCGATGAATACAAGGGTCCTCCGGTAGGTTATGTTATCCCAAATGCAGTTCCGGTTGATATTCACCACATCCCAACTGCTGCTCCGGTTTCTTCAGGCTCTCTCTTGAACAATTCGTCCCTCCCTGTTATTCAACCGATTGCGAAATCTAACAAGAAACCGAAAAAGAGTCGAAACTTGCAATTGAAGCAAAGTTTGGAAAGGAAATTGTTTCTTCCGATTCAGTAACTCCTGCTGAATTGGAAATTAGCAAAGGCGAAAAGGGTGTGTCGACTTTATCAGATAAAGTCGAAAGCTCTGGGGATTTGGCGTTTTCTGGCAGTCTGTCTGGAAGTTCAAAGGGTGTGCTTGAACTACCTGATGATGGTCAAGAAGCTCAAGGTTTTCAGAATGATATGAGCCCCGGTGATTGGGGTTCATCAGAGTCTGGTTCGAGTTCACAGAGTCTTTCCTCTGAGGTTTTTTCTGGTAGAGAGGAAGCTGATGCGGATGAAATTCCTCACCATGTCAAAAGACCATCAGCTGTGACATTCCGTGATCCTGACTCGAATGACATTGTTCAGGAAGAAGAGTATGATCTTTCTGATGCGGAAGAAGATGTGCAAGTGAGGCCTACAGTTGAGAGAAATGGGAAGAAAGGGTCGTGCTATCGATGTGGGAAAGGAAACAGACTCACGGAGAAGGAGGTTTGCATTGTTTGTGGTGCTAAGTATTGCTATAATTGTGTGCTGAGAGCAATGGGGTCAATGCCGGAAGGAAGAAAATGTATTACTTGCATTAGTTTTGAAATTGACGAGTCAAGGCGAAGGAAGCTGGGCAAGTGTTCTAGGATGCTCAAGCGGCTTCTCACTAAATCGGAAGTTGAACTGATAATGAAAGCCGAGATATCTTGCCAAGCAAATCAACTGCCAGGCAATCTTATTTTTGTGAACGACGAACATCTATCGCAGGAAGAGCTGGTTCGATTGCAAAGTTGCCGAAACCCGCCAAAAAAGTTAAAACCAGGGTGCTATTGGTATGATAAAGTATCTGGTTTTTGGGGAAAGGTAAAAATTGAATTCAGCTCAACTTTTCAATCAGCTTGTTAATAATAGAACTCTATATTGTTGTAACTTGCACTACAATGTGATGATGTTTCTGCTTGAAATGAACAGGAAGGGCATAGGCCTTGCCAAATAATTAGCCCTCACTTGAATGTGCGAGGTCACATAAGGCAAAATGCTAGTAACGGGGATACAAATATATTGATAAACGGTCGGGAGATCACTAAGTTAGAGGCCTTCATGCTGAAGGTTTTTATACTGGACTCATTCAAGTTCATTGGTCTATTATAAGCTTTGAAAAAACACATCGTTTGATGTTTTTTGTTGGAATTATGCAGTTGGCTGGAGTGCCATGTGAAGGAAATCTTCACTACTGGGTGAGTGCAGATGGGTCGTATCAGGAAGAAGGAATGAAGCAAGTAAAAGGAAAGATATGGGACAAGGTTTGTACGCATGTGATATGCAATAAGTTGAGTGCCTTTCCTAATCAATCTTATGCGTCAAGCATCCCTTAACTGTGAAGTTACTTCTCTACAGACTACAATAAAGCTGGTTTGTAACATCTTGTCTTTGCCAATTCCTTCTGATTCTGCAAATCTTTCGACAGAAGAAGTGAACACCCAGAATACCTTTGAAGAGAAAATGCTTAACAAAATTGTTCTAGTTGGACATCATAAATCTGGTACAAGCACTATATTTAAACAGGTAAGACATTTTGAGGAGGGAATGACCCAATTACCGATTTCTTAATATCATTAAGCTCATAACCTAATTGGTGCATTTCCTATTTCATAGCTTCAGGGTCAGTAAAAATTATTAATTCTACAAAGCTTTAGATGATAGTAATCATTGGTGAAACTTGACAGATGAACTAGAATTAACAGAACTTGAAGTTTTCAAAAAACATTTCCTGATTTATTTTGTATATTTATACCTGTAAAAAGTTGACTCTGCATGCACATCGGAAATGTGTAACCATATATATATGTTTGTATATTTCTGAATGCACTACCGCGTAATGTGCATCCTCTCAGCAGACTGCATAATGTGCATGTAATTATGTATGGTGCATCCTCTCAGCAGCAGTGTTCTATTGAATAATCAACAAGTGCAAACATGCACACAGATAACTAAACATGACTCGTTCTTCTTTTACCGCAAGTGACTCATTGTTTTCTTTTTCCCATCCATATCAGTAATAGGAACCAATGTTCTATTTCGGTAAAGTTTTCGACTGAGTTCAATAAACTGTTTGAAGGAACTGCGATGTTTATTCCGAATGATGCGTGCATTTCTTCTGACAATAAGTACTTACTTATTTTAGGCCAAGATTTTGTACAATGTTCCTTTCTCTGAAGATGAACGGCAAAGTATTAAGTTGATGATACAGAGCAGATTGTACAGTTATCTCGGTATACTGCTTGAAGGACGTGAGTGGTTTGAAGAAGAAAGTTTGATTGAGAAGAGAAAAGGAAAAGGACACCTTCTGGAGGAACCAGGCCCGTCAGGTACAAATATATTGATTCCTTGTTTTCTCCACTCCATATGCTTATGATCTGGCCTTTTTAAATCAATTTGTAATTATTTTTTGGTTTGGATAAGAAACACAATTTGTATTACATAAAGAGGAAGATGGTTACCCAGCATGTGGAAGAAGGCTAACATCAATTTTTCCGTCTTCACATAATTATAGCCCTATAAAAAATTATTTTTAAATAACTAGTGTTAGGCCATACTCATATACCATCTCTAACAAAGGGGGTTCAACATAGCCCTCTCAATAGTTTATTAGTTTTAAGTTTATAATTTAAATTTATTGGTTAATTTAGTTAAAATTACCGTAAGATGTTTTCAAATCTAGCCATTGAGTTTGAAGCAATGATTGCAACTAAGAAGCTGGGTCCCAAAAAAGGGGCTTAGTGAGGGGCTACATTTAGGCAGCCTGATGCCTCTTTGGCTAAATAATGGCCGGGTGGGCTCTATAGAATTATAGCCTAGACATTGGTTGGAGATGAATTTTTGGACACATCAGGTCATCTTTTTGCTCTTGGACGTTTAGCCCTCTCCATTGGGGACTGCCTTATTATCGGAGGTAGTGCTTTCTAGATGTTGGTTTTACAAACTGAAACATTTGCTTGGTATTTACACCTCAATATTTATTGGAATAACAGATCGTTCCTTTTAGATAACATTTTGTGCTTTTCTCGTGGATTACTCTCTTAATTTCCTGTCAAGTTGATGTATCTTTCTATTATTTGATTGTATTATTGGTTGGGTTATAAGTAACATATTAAACATCAAGTTATATGCTTGCCTTTTGTATGAATTTGTTGCTTTCAGTATTGTCATGATGGAGTCGTGCCTGAAGTTATTCAGTTTACACAGGAAATACAAGCCAGCTTGACGATAAAACGAAATATTCCATTGGTCCAAGACTGAAAGCTTTTTCTGATTGGCTCCTCAAATCTATGGTATCTGGTAATCTGGAAGCCATATTTCCAGCAGCTACTCGTGAATATGCACCATTTGTTGAGGATTTGTGGAAGGATCCTGCTATTCAAGCCACATACGACCGGAGGAATGAAATACAAACGCTGCCCAGACCAGCTGCATATTTTCTTAATCGGGTGAGATCATGCTCTGTGTTCCTTGCCCTTTAGTTTTAGCCAATTCACACTCTCAAAGTGCTTCTGCTCTTTTGGTTTTGAGTTTTCAATTACTTGATGGGCCAGATGCTCAGAATGTTTCTTTAGATCTTGTGGATAAATTTGGATATTAACATGGAACGTGGATAATACGCTATCTCTAAATTTTATGCGTGTTACTCGATTCTAATGCTTATTCTTCTGAGCAGGCCGTTGAGATTTCAAGGACAGATTATGAGCCCTCAGACATGGACATCTTGTATGCTGAGGGAATCACCTCATCCAATAGCCTTACGAGCATGGAATTTTCGATTCCCCCATCAGCAGGAAACAGCAATCTGGACCCTCCTTATCAGCATGACCCTTCGTTAAGGTTAGGTTTCGTGATTCATGCTTGAGCAACAATTGCATTAATCTTTCTTCATTGAGTTAGCCAATATCTTGCTTAATATTGCTGATTAAATTTAGTGTCGACATGCTTTGCCCAATGGATAGAAATTGGTATGCAGTTTTATATTAGTTATAACTAGGAGAAGTCGTTAAGATGAAACTTTTATAATACATACACCATAATCAGTGGAATTTTATGAAGGGAAACAAAGGTAAGGAATATAACTGTTTGAGGCTAAACGAGCGATAAGTTACTTGAAAATTAATTTCATTTCCAAGATATGATCTTGAATTCGAAGTTTTAAGCCGGTCCTTTTTTGTTTCAGTTTCTTAATTGCTGAAACGTTGACTAGTATTATGACTATATTAAAAAGGAAAACTTGAGCAATTTTATTTCATGTTTTGGGAAACAGGGTATCAAAGTATCATAAGGGGCAGTGTGATAATTCAGTGTTTTAAAAAGCATTGGCATCGGTTTCTTCGCAGGTACCAACTAATTAGAGTGCATCAGAGCAGCCTTGGAGGAAACTGCAAGTTGGTCGAGATGTTTGAAGATGTTAATATGGTCGCATTTTGTGTTTCATTGACAGACTACGATGAGTTTTATACAGATGTTAATGGGGTTTCCATAAACAAGATGATGGCAAGTAAGCAGCTATTTGAAAATATTGTTACTCATCGGGCCTTTGACCAAAAAAACTTCCTTCTGATACTCAACAAGTTTGATCTTCTGGAAGAAAAGATTGACGAAGTCCCTCTCACTCGATGCGAATGGTTTAATGATTTCAATCCAGTACCCAGCCAGAATCCCAGCAGTAGCCACAATAACAGCAATAACCCCACGTTGGCTCACCGAGCCTTTCAGTATATTGCAGTGAAGTTCAAAAGGCTCTTTCATTCTCTAACAGATAGGAAGTTGTTTGTTTCACTGGTTACAGCGCTAGAGTCTGATACTGTAGATGAAGCTCTTAGATATGCTAGTGAGATTCTAAAATTGGAAGAAGAGGTACCCAGATTAATTAACGAGTTCTCTTCTGCTAGCATCGAGGCCAGTTCTTCTGCTTAAATGTCTTTTTGTAAATGCAACCATTTCTGTTGTGCAAATTGTTCATATTTTTGCACTCGGGAACACAGATACATAGTGAGAGAATAGAGATCATATTCTTTTCAATTTTTGTATTTTATTACTCCTCGTAACATATGTAGAAGTTGTGGCCATGGAAGATTTAATGAAGCAAAACAAAGTAATTTCTTTCCTATTTGTGTTTTTATGTGTTATATATTGTCTTATTTATTTCGTTTTTTGTTATTTTGCAATACTATCAAGTTGATGTATTTTTTTATTTAGTTTTCGGTTATATTATTGAAGAAAAGTAAGCAGCAAAGTACATAGAAAAAACTGAAAGCAACAAAAATTGAGGGTGACGAAGGATTACGTGAGCTAAACTACACGTAAAGGCTTGGTCATTTGCTTAGCAAAGCAAGTCAAAACTGCGCGCTGCATATCTGCGTGCATGCACCACCCAGAAAAGATGAACCACGAAGACCGATAAGACTGCAATACAAGAAACGCCATACCAAAGCAACGAGCGGAAGCACCAGTAAAGAACCATTCACCAAAACTCAGCAAGAAGCAAAGATAGTGAGAAAAAAAGTCTTGCATCTTCCAAAATCTGAATCTTCACAGCTGATGCCCTTAGTAGTCAGTGCTGATTTGATGGTCTTGATCACTGTTAGAGTAGTGGTAGCAGAAGTAGTCAACTTTCGAGAAGAAACAACACAAACATTGGGAGGGTATTGTTGAATTAACCCCAAAGCAAAAAACCACAGCACGGCGACATTAATCAATAGAGTACTTGTAGTGGGTGCAATGGAAGTGGCAAATTACACACATCTGAACGGATATTATTCTCAGGACTTCCTCATCTTTGTAGCACAAGTAGCCATCTTCTTCAAACACTTCCAATACTGCTTTCTTCATCTTTACCTCCAATGGCGTGATAGCTTCCCCAGACCTTGATGAGCAGCCAGCATCTTCATCAGCCAATACCTCCGTATAGACTTTTGGTATATCTTCACTGCTGCCATCCAGTGGCATTACCAGGTGGACTCCGCAGCTTTTATAGCGGGTAATCATTTACCAAGAAGGTCAAAATTGAAATGCACTCTGCACGTAAGAGGTGGCTGTGTTGGACGCTTCACTTCCTTCAGCTCCGTTAACACTTGACACAACGGAAAATAGTACAACCACACCAGCTGACTCTAACTCAGTTGGACAAGTCCATCCAAATAAACATTTATGCGTCTCCATGTTCCAAAATGTTTGGCAATTTTGAAATTCTTGCCAAGGATACGCAATCACTGACATCTACATGTCCTACCTTCAGTGGAAGTTTTGGAATTTCCTCAAGCCTGTTGCATCCATGCAAGCTTAGAATCCTCAAGCTGACAAATTTGATAATGCATTCGGGAAGACTTAACAAAATTGCTTCCCGATACATCAAGTTTGAATAACGTAGACACACAATCAAGAGTAGCAAGGAAATTCATTTTTGATAAACTGCCTCCCTGGACGTTTAACTGCTCAAGATTGGGAAGCGCTTTATGTAACTGTCATGTGAAATCCTTGTGCTAGTCGGAAGCACCAAAGGAAGTGGTTGTACACTACATGAAACTTCAGACTTCACCTTATTTGGTAATGTAACGAGTTTCGGGCATCCACATAAATGAAGACCTTTTCGATGTTGCAACACATAAATGCTTAATGGCAGATCTGTAAGGTTTTCACACTCACTTAAACACAACTGTTCAAGACTACTGAGATATCCAATTGATGATGGCAACTCTTATGTCAGTGCAGGATAGGTCCAAGCATGTTTAGAGTTCCATCTTTTCCACAATTTCCGGGAAAGTCTCGAGCCTTCCACAATCAGTAGCATCCCTTAAGACTCAAGTGGACAAGCTTTCCGAGGAATCCAACGGAAGAATGAACCTCAACTAACCTTGTATAGAAGAGAAGTCTAGATTCAAGTCCTCTAAGTTTCCAGAGAAATTTGGGATTTTTGTTAGGAATTTGCACCTCTCCAAGTTGATAGATGTCAGATTTTTATAAACCCTATGATACAAACGATAAAAAGAGGATCAAACAAGATAACCATATAAAAAATACTAACCAAGCCTAATTAGTTAAAAAAAAAAAAAAAAAACTCTTGAAAATAAGACGAAAAATAATTTTAAATACCATGAATCCCCCTCCAAGTTCTGACAAGCAACTACGAGGCATAGACATTTGAACAAGTTTCTTGGGGTTAAAATTGGATGGCAAAGCTTGTAACGGACATTCAGGCCACCGTAGGAACCTCAACTCATTGGGGAGAGAATCCAAGTAATCTCCAGAAAGGAACCGAATCCCCTCTGGGCCTAAAGGAATTGAGCCCACTCATCAAATGATCCAAGCCATTGAAATTTGATCCAACAGTTACAAACAAGGGGGGCCTCTAAAAGTTATAATAATTATAGCCGTTTAATCAAATTTCAATGGCCCCGATCATTTGATCTTTGGGCTTAGTTCCTTTGGGTCCAGAGGGGATCCGATTCCCTCCAGAAAATCTTGTATTCGAACTCATGAAAATGTTATGATGCCAGATGGCATCATCCGAATGTGCCAAGTGTATGGCTGAGATGGTTAGTTTCTAAGTTTGTTAGTCAATTGTTATAGGTTTCTTAGTTAGCAAGTTAGACAGTTAGCATAAATAGGAATGAACAGTAAGAGAAAGATTGTTGTGTAATCATAACTTTAACGTTCTTGCGCTAAGGTTGCTGATGGTGATTTTTACCACTTGTAAAACAAGGGTTAAACCACAAAAAATTCTTGCAAGAGAACAAGTGTTTGTAGTATAGAATGGCTCAAGTAAGGTTGATCTCCTCAGGGACTGATATAAACAATTTACGAATTTTTGTGTATTTAACTTATTTAACTCTAAGAACTACACTAATTTGACGAAATTAAATACTACTGGATGTGACTTAAACAAATATCTAAAATGGGAATTGGCTTATAGGAATAGTGATCCAACTAAACAAAACAAGTAAATATATAAACTCAAGATAAGATAAATGATTGAAGAAAAATAGATTGACAATATGCTAGAGTTCAACCTTTTACCAACAACACTCCTACGTAGCTCGTCAAATTGCTTAAGTAATCGAAAACATATATGCTTTGAAGGTTGGGTTTTCCTTGTGTATGTTTTACTTGTGACATTCAAATTAAAACGCATACCACTACATGCAATTTATCCATGACATTTGGATTAAATATAAACATGAATGATTCATTAATCTTGATGAAAATCCTTTTGTTAAACCATGTAATCCCTAAGAGTATGATATTTACCTTAGGAGAAATTACAATCCTCAATCACAAGAAGCATAACCCAATTTTAACGTGACATTCGTTCAAAATTGCATCCAATGACTTTTCTAAGCATCCTAATGGTGATCAATCATCAAGACACATAGATAGTTAAATTTAGAGATTGAAAATATCAAGGCAAGCATGTAACAACACTTAAGCAATTGAAAGAGAAATCTACGTAATCATGTTGCGGCTCATGGCCTCACTCTAGCGAAAAGAAATTAGTTACACATAATTATTTGAATACATAAGAAATTATCCATGAAGAATCAAAGAATGAGACAACCCTTTTTTACAAGGAGGTTATCTCCTGATGCTCTCCGATCCTCCTTCCATGTGGAGATGCAGCTCCCTTATTTTTCTGCTATGTTACTCTCCCTTCTTTTGCTCTCTGCCGTCTACACTTTCCTTTAATCTCTACCGTGCTCTCCCTCTATGGTTCTAATCCTTTGCTCTCTTCCCTTCTCCTTTGTCCTGCCGTGTGTTGCCTTAAACAAAAGGCCATGATTTTTCAAAGCACCAAGGCCACAAGTGGAAGACAAGCCTCATCCCACTTCCTAGTTCTCCACTTTATCCTCACTCCCCCACTTTGCTTTCTGATTTCTTTTTCAAACACCACCCGTGGAGACAAACTCCACTTCCAATTCTTTTGTTTGTTTTTATTATTTCATTTTCTCCTTTTTGCTTGAAATTGATCATAAAGCAAATTTAACTGCACACTAACACAAGGTAAGGTAAAATGCAACCATTTTAACACAAAAACATCACAAAGACTTTAGAAATGGATGGTATAAATGCATGAAATATATGAGTGATCAAATACCCCCAAACTTACATTTTTGCTAGTCCTCTAGCAAAACAAAACACAAAACAAAACCACTCAACTAAGACTAGACTCAACAACTTAGTAGCCAACTTCTCAATTTCGATTTCAGAGATAAGTGCTAACCATGAAACAAACAGCCAAGAACTAAGCAACAAGAGCTCAAAACATCATCCAATAGTTAACCAAATTTCCTTCAAACAAAACGTTGAAATGTCATGTGTGAGCTAGCCATGTCAATGCAATTCCAAGCTCCTTTAAATCATCATATGCAAACATGTGAGCTTCTCACAAGACATACGATCATTCACTCATAAGTTTTGGTTAATGTGTTTCACTCAAGTGATCTCATTGTACATGCCGCCATATGCTTGCTTGTCCACCTAACTCGCTATCAATATTTAAGTAATACCTTAGATCAATAGGACTTTATTACGGTTGTAATGGGGCTAAAGGTGATAGGCTAATGAAAGAAAGGCTATGGAAATCAAAAATTTTGAGAAAGTACACTTTAGTTGTTTTCCAACACCTCAATATCACACCACCTCAAATTGAAAGCAAAATAATAAAACCTCGAGCACCTGTTACTCCCCAAATTCAACTTCAAAAGGAAATTTATACTCTGCAGACACATTTTCAACAAATCAACACTCTCCAATTTTATTTTTTTTTTCTATTTTTTTTGTTTAAAGAAACAAATCTGCAAAGCTATGCATAAATCTGCAAAAGCTACATCACCCATCAAATTAACATTTCATTGTAATACACATGCTCCATCCATCTTTCTACATAAATGAAACCCCCAAGAGCACAACCCATGTAATACTTTCTCAAAACAATAAGGAATCGATTTCTGTGTATGGGCTCAACTCCAATATCGGAGCTTGGTAAAAAGATGTGGCTAACAAAGAAATGGCTTAGTTAAAGGCTCAACGGGCTACTATGGACACACATAGCATATAAGGTAGGCATGAAAGGCTCAAACGATCCAAAGATGGCCTATATCACTTCCAATTTATTACATGAATTGATGAATGAGACGAGAAGTATAAAACAAGTTCTAGAGATACATGTACAGTGAGATCATACGCACAAGAATGAATGAGATTGATGCATAATGGTTCAATCATGTATAGGCTCAAAACTCACAAGGTTTACATAATCTCACATGATTCACATATGAAACGCTAAATCATGCTCAAGTTTCACATTGACAAGACTAGGCACATTTATTTTTCAAGTTGATTGCTGGAAATCATAGTTAACATAAAGACAACGAAAAGAACTTAGACTTCTTGAAAGTACGAAGGAAATTAAGGTCAAATCTCATCATTGAATTGAGAAGTAGCCACAAACAACAACAAAAATGCAAAATTTTTTTTTTTTAATTTATTAAATAATTTTTTTAAATTTTTTTTTAAATTTTTTTTTTAACAAGAAGTAAACTAACGAAATATATTTCCACCCCCAAACTTAATTATAGCATTGTCCCCAATGATAATGAAAGGAATTTTGAACAATAAGACATAAAAATGGAAGGAAAGAAATACAAAATGAAATAAAGACACATAAAGAAAAGGAAAGAACACACCAATTTGTGTAGGCGAGGAGAGCAGCAGTAAAGATGCATTTTTGTTCCATTGTAGAATTCCAAATGATCCCCAAACTTGTTTCAACACGTCCCATTATGCATAACAAATGTGTGAGTAACCTGTGGGATTAAGAAACTTTGCAAGAAGTTGTGGTAGAGACTGCAAAAGCATTGCCTGCATAAGGGAGCAAAAGTAGGACTTAAACACACAAACCAGAAAACAAGAGAAAAACAGAACAAGAACATTTAAAATTATTCAAACTAAAGATGAAAGATAGAAAACTTGGGTTGCCTCCCAAAAAGCGCTTTAGTTAATGTCTAGAGCTAGACATCCTGTTGGCAATTTGATTCAAATAACAAGTTCCTTCAAAGTGATGGAATCCTTAGCAAGATCATATGGAGACTCCTTGCATAACTTCAAGCGATGTCCATTAACTTTGAAGACAAAACCAGTTTGCATGTTTTGGATATCCACAGCCCCATGAAGATGGACTTGTACAACATGATATGGACCATTCCAACGTGATTTGAGCTTTCCTGGGAATAGTTTCAGCCTCAAATTAAAAAGAAAAACCTTCTGACCCGGATGGAACTCTTTACGAAGGATGTGAGCATCATGAAATTTCTTGGTCTTATCCTTGTAAATCTTTGCATTCTCATAAGCATCGTTCCTTATTTCTTCCAATTCATTCAACTGCAGCTTCCGCTTCTCTCCCGCTGCTTGGTAGTCAAAATTGAGGTGCTTAATAGCCCAATATGCCTTGTGCTCAAGTTCCATAGGTAAATGGCAAGCTTTCCCATACACCAAAAGAAAAGGAGACATCCCAATTGGTGTCTTATAAGCTGTCCTATATGCCCACAAAGCATCAGTAAGCTTTAAACTCCAATCCTTTCGAGATGAACTGACAGTTTTCTCAAGAATCCTTTTGAGCTCATAATTAGATACTTCAACTTGTCCAGATGTCTGTGGATGGTATGGGGTGGCTATGCGATGGTGAATATGATACTTGGCACAAAGGGCAGCCATGGTGCGGTTTAAGAAATGCGTACCTTTATCACCGATGATAGCACAAGGTACTCCAAATCGGGGAAAAATAGTATTCTGCAAGAAACCTAACACCACAGAACTTTTGCATGTTGGAGAAGCTATTGCCTCCACCCACTTAGAAACATAATCAACCGCCACCAAGATGTAAAGATTGCCATGTGAAGAAGGGAAAGGTCCCATGAAGTCTATACCCCAAACATCAAATAGTTCAATCACCAAAATACTTTGTTGGGGCATCTCATTTCTCTGAGAAAGATTTCCAACTCTTTGACACTTATCACAAGCCTGGCAACATAGGTATGCATCTTTGAATAAAGATGGCCAAAAGAAACCACTCTGTAAGATCTTGGCCGATGTCCTTCTTGGTCCAAAATGACCACCACATGCATAGTGGTGAGCAAACTTCAAAATGCTTTCTTGTTCTTCTAAGGGGACACATCGACGAATAATTTGATCTTGGCAATGCTTGAAAAGGTATGGCTCATCCCAAAAGTAGTGTTTTACAGTGGAGAGGAACTTCTTCCTTTGTTGGTAACTGAACTCTGATGGTATTTCTCCAGATGCCAAATAATTTGCGATGTTAGCATACCATGGTACTTGATGAGTAACCACTAGAAGTTGCTCGTCTGGAAAGCTCTCTTGCAGGGGCAATGAATCTGCCTCATCAGTGCTTGCATTTACTAATCGTGAGAGATGATCCGCCACAACATTCTCACGTCCTTTTTTATCTAGGATCTCCAAATCAAACTCTTGCAAGAGAAGGACCCATCAAATCAATCGTGGTTTGGCCTCTTTTTAAACAATAAGTACTTGAGAGCAGAATGATCAGAATACACAATGACTTTAGCACCAATTAAGTACGATCGAAACTTTTCAAGAGCAAATACCACTGCAAGTAATTCTTTTTCTATAGTGGCATAATTCAGCTGAGCATCATTCAAAGTGCGGCTGGCATAATATATAACATGGGGGAGCTTGTCACGTCGCTGACCAAGGACAGCACCCACAACGTAATCGGAAGCATTGCACATGAGCTCAAAAGAAAGGGTCCAATCTGGAGCTGTTATAATTGGTGCTGATGTGAGAAGATCCTTCAATTTATTGAAAGCATCATGACATTTCTTCACAAAAGTGGGTGGTGGCAGATTGGCTATCACATCAATCTTGGCCTTGTCAACTTCTATTCCTTTGCTTGAAATTAGATGTCCTAGCACAATGCCATGCTTAACCATAAAATGGCATTTCTCCCAATTTAACACAAGATTAGTCTCCCTGCACCTTTCCAAAACCAAAGACAAGTTATCCAAACATATATCAAAAGAATCACCTAAGAAAGAAAAATCATCCATAAAAACCTCAACAATATTTTCAACCATTCCAGAAAAAATACTCATCATGCATCGTTGGAAAGTGGCAGGGGCATTGCACAATCCAAATGGCATTCGCCTATATGCAAATGTACCAAAGGGGCATGTAAATGTTGTCTTCTCTTGATCCTCAGGGGCAATGGGAATTTGGTTGTACCCTGAATAACCATATAAGAAACAATAGAAAGAATGACCGGCTAGTCTCTCGAGCATCTAATCAATGAACGGCAGAGGAAAATGATCATTTCTAGTGCTGTTATTGGGCTTTCTATAGTCAACACACATTCGTCATCCGGTGGTCATCCTTATAGGCACAAGCTCGTTGTTATCATTCTTCACCACAGTAATACCAGTTTTCTTTAGGATCACCTGAGTCGAGCTCACCCATTTGCTATCCGAGATTGGATAAATGATACCTGCATCAAGCAACTTCATCACCTAAACTCTTACAACTTCCTTCATGATCGGATTTAGACGTCTTTGAGCTTCAACAATTGGTTTAGTCCCAGCTTCCATAAAAATTCTATACATGCACAAAGCTGGACTAATGCCCTTTATGTCAGCAAGTGTCTACCCCAGAGCATCTTGATACTTGCAAAGAACTCTTAGTAATTTGTTTTCCTCTGTGCCATTAAGATCAGCAGCAATAATAACAGGCAAGGTCTCATTCACCCCGAGATGAGCATACTTAAGGTGGCTCGGCAATAGCTTGAGTTCTAACTTCGGAGCTTGCTCACTTGAAGGAAGAAGTGGCTGCTTAGGCTCTCCAAGGCTTTCATAAACATGTCGTCACTTCGGATTATGAATTGGTGCACTATCCAATGCAGCAATGACATCCACCACATTTTCTTCCATAGATAAAGTAGCATCATGGTTGGTGAGGCAAGTTAACAGCTCATCGTTAGATGATCGTGAGGCAAAGTTTGCATGCACAATCCCATCCAAAACATCAACACGAAAACACTCTTCAAGTTCGAGAGGACGCTTGACAGCTTCAAAGAGTTTGAATACAACTGACTCTCCTTGCACTCTTAAGGTTAAAGTACCTGCTTCCACATCAATAAGTGTTCGGGCGGTGGCCATGAACGGTCGGCCTAAAATGAGAGGCACTTCCTTGTCTTCCTCCATGTCAAGTTCAATGAAATCATCTGGGAGATATAATTTATCCACTTTAATAATCACATCTTCCAGAATACCCAAAAGATAGGTCACAGACCTATCTGCTGCCAATTCAAGACTCACAAATGTGGGCTTGAGTTCTCCTTCACCTAATTTTTGAAAACAGAATAAGGCATAAGGTTAACACTTGCTCCTAAATCAATCAATACTTTATGAAAATCAAGACTACCAATAGTACAAGAGATAGTGAAACTCCCCGGATCTTTCTTCATGGGTGGTAGCTTATGTAAGAGGACAACACTGCATTGCTCAGTTAAAATCACCTTCTCGTATTCCAAGAACTTTTTCTTTTTAGAACATAGCTCCTTCAGAAATTTGGCATATGATGGGATTTGTTTAATAGCATCTAATAGAGGCAAATTAATTTGAACCTTACCCAACGTCTTCATGAATTCAATGCATTGTTGATCCTTGGAACGTTGTTGCTGTCGTTGTGGAAATGGCAAAGGTGGCTTGTATGGTGGCTTGTCAGAAGGTGCAAATAAACTACCAAGGCCTTTTTCCTTATTTGCATTAAAGTTAGGTCGAGATTGCACTTTGTCACTTGCACTAGGATTTGGAATACCTGCTGCAGAAATAGCCTCTGACCGAGACTTTGCAGCTAACGGTGCACTTTCAGTAAACTCTTCTTCTTCCACTTCGGCTTCATGGTGCACCACTTCTCTGTTTTCATAGCTCTTGCCACTTCTCAATGTCCGTATTACTTTGCAATGCTCCATCCCTCTTGGATTTTGCTCAGATTGGCTCGGGAACTTTCCTTTCTCTCTTTCATTCAACATGGTAGCAAGCTGTTCAACTTGAGTCTTCAAATTCCCTACTGATGCCGTGAGATTCTGAATGCTAGTTTGTGTGGATTGGACAAAATTGTTGGTGCTATTAGAGAGAGAGCGGACATATGTTGAGCTAGCTGTGACATTTGGTCTTCAAGAGATGGTTTCTTAGTCTCACTAGTTGATTGGTAAGACTGTTGGTATTGACGTGGCTGTTGGTTGCCACCCCAACTAAGATTGAGATGGTTCTTCCACCCAGGATTATATGTATTGGAATAAGGATCACTTCTGGGTCTAATGAAATTATTCACCATATTCACATGCTCTTGCACAAGCTCAGGGTAGCTATCCTTGTTGGGGCATTGAGTGATGTCATGAGTTGTCTCACTATAAATGATGCAAGCTTCTTGGGCATTGGGCATGGAAGAGACCTGCATTAAGGTGAAGGAATATTTTAGGAAAAACATGTTCATTTAAGCAACATCAATAAGCATGCAATTAACAATTAAAGGCGGAATCATGCTAGCATGCACTTAAAAACAAAACATTAACCAAGAAATTCAAAGCCTAGTAGATTGGTGAACCAAAACTCAACTCAAAACAAAGTGAGTTGAAATTTATACCTTTGTAGATTCCTCTTTGCATAAGCAAAGGCTAATCACCCAAAGAGAGGGCCTTCATTCCTTGCATAATAAATCTATGGATTTGGATGGATGAATAGGTTTCTCCAAGTTCCCAAAATAGGGAACCTCTAAGTCTCTTCACCAAGGAGAGATTGGAGAAGAAATGAGTGACCTTGGAGTAGTGGGATTGCAAGATGCACCCCCAAGGTGGCCGGCCTCTTTAGAGAGAAATGGAGAGACATGTTCTCTCCAATTTTCTCCAAAACAAACCCTTAATGAATTTTAGCTATAAAGTCATATTTATACCTTTATTCATTTGAGTGGCAAACTTGTAAATAAGTCCAAGTTCACTACCCTAAACAATATGGCCGGCCATTAGGATATTTTGGACTAATTGGGCCTTTGTGAATCATTATTCATTAAGTTGTCATACAACTTAAGTTAATGGGCTTGACGTTCGAAGCCCATTGGGCCTTAAGGTCCAAAACTATCCCGAGGTCTTTAACGAACTTATTCGTTTGATTAATTAACATATTAATTAATCCTTGCCATAAATAAATGATTAAACCATTTAATCATTCTTACTCATCTCTATTGTTTCTTCAATCTCCACCTTACACGGTGTGCGATCCATTAGGTTCCTTTTAGCGAGGCAGTGGGCGATTAAAACCATTTTATATCGATTGTGAATTGAAACTTACTTTCAATTCTCCCTTTAGTGATTACACACGTTTAGGGCTTCCACAAACCATGAGTGACACCTTGCAGCATATCATGGTTACCCAAGCTAATCAGAAGAGGTAGAGAAAACCTATTCAGTTTGGGATTACAAATGCAATACGGTCTTTCTCTAATACAATACTCTTGACCACATTGTTTGGTTTGATAGTTTATTTATTCATGTCTACTATCCAATGTGATTCGTGTGCTTATATGATTACCTTGAATGTGATTTAGAACGACTTTTCTAAATCTCATTCATACTCTGGCCAGAGATTCTAAATCATATCATAGAGTATTCTCCCTCAAACAGTTTGAAGGTTAGAGATCCCTTGTTGCGCATTCACTTGCCTCCATGGCTAAGTGGCTTAACCCCAACGATGCCGTGGACACTCCAATGGAATGACGTTTGACATAATCAAAGATCAAGGACTTAACCACAAGACAACTGTGATGACTCAGGTCAAATGACTACTTTGCATTATCCCAACCATGAGTTCTCATGTGACATGAGTATGAAAACTCTTCGTTGATCGCGTTCAGTGAACTCATTCTCTACTGAGCACCTACGTACTTGTCTTGATGTCACACACACCAATGACTCGAGACTAGTCACTCTCCCTGAGAGAAGACATAGCACGTACCGATCTTGACGGACTGTCAATGCCCAATCGGCAATCCTATGATCAGGAACATTTAGGATGTGTCAACGAAAGAATGGTCTCATGAATCTAACTTCATTAGATTGCATTCTCCCAATCACATATTCCTTGGACTTTATCGTTTAAGCATATAACATTTATATGAGACGGCTCAAACAATAATCTTTGCCCTTTATATTAAACTAGATTAGTTTAACATGTGAAATGTCCGTAAAGTATCATCACATGATTGGTTTTAGGGCACATTTCCAACATAAGGCAGCAAACTTAGCATTAAAATTCTTCTCCATTTTAGCAATTTGAGCAGAAACATTAGGAGAACTTTAAGAAATCTAAAAAACTCCCCTCTTTTGTGTTTGTTCTTCTGTCCATTATTGGGATTCAGAAGCCATAATATCAAATAACTCAAATGCTTTTCTTGCTGATTTTGACATTAGTGACCCTCCAGCAGATGCATTCACTTGACTCTTGGTGGTGGCATTGAGACCATCATAAAATATGTTCATTTGAAGGTTAGAATCAAACCCAGCATGAGGACATTTTGTGTACATCTCATTATACCGTTCCTAAGCTTCATGGAAAGACTCGTTTGTCTTTTGAGCGAAAGCCAATATCTCTTTCTTAAGTGCAAGAGTCTTGGAAGAAGGAAAAAACTTATTGAGAAATTTTTCTTGCAATTCTGTCCATGTTGTAATGCTATTAGCAGGCAGAGAATGCAGCCACGCCTTGGCTTTGTCCTTCAAAGAGAACGAGAACAAGCGTAACTTGATAGCTTCAGAAGAGAAACCTCTAATTATGGTGTTGTCACATGCCTCAATAAAATCAGCCAAATGCATGTTAGAATCACTGTTTGGCAACCCATGAAAGGATGGCAATATGTTGAGGATGTGAGGTTTGATTTCAAAGGTTGTCCCATCTTCCACATCTGGATATATAATGCACCTTGGCACTGCATTGACTCTCGCTGCCAATGAATTCCTTAAAGGTTGACCTACTGCAGGTAAGGCTAGGGCCATGTGTGCAATTGGTGCCAAAGGTTGGAAAATAGATGTGCTGCTCTCAGGATCACGAAACAAATCCTTAAGAAAAGTATCACCAAGGTTGGAATCTTGTGCTAAAATTTTTTCTCTAGCTAACTTCCTTGCACTTCTCTCTGGTTCAGGGTCGTAAGGAATAAGCACTTGATTCTTGGACCTTGTTCCAACCACCATATACTACACCTGAACAAACAACAGAAATATTAAGCCACAATAAAAATAAAAGTAAAATAAAATAAAACTTAACAGAAACTAACTAAACAACAAAAAGGAAAAGAAAGTAAGTAAACCTAGATGAATAAAAAACATAGTTTATACAAATTGGCAACCACTAGTTAGTTAAACAAAGACAAAAATCCCACACCACACATCCACTGCACTTAATCAAAGATCGAAACTCAACTAAATTAATTGCTTTTTTTTTATTTTTGTTTATTTTTTTAATGATTAATAAAATAAGACATAAACATAAGCATAAGAAAAATAAACACAAAAGCTCGGGAACTGTTGGCACAGACCCCTGCAACGGCGCCAATTTCTTGATGGTGATTTTTACCACTTGTAAAACAAGGGTTAAACCATAGAAAATTCTTGCAAGAGAACAAGTGTTTGTAGTATAGAATGGCTCAAGCAAGGTCAATCTCCTCAGGGACTGATATAAACAATTTACGAGTTTTTGTGTATTTAACTTATTTAACTCTACGAACTACACTAATTTGACGAAACTAAATACTACTGGATGTGACTTAAACAAATATCTAAAATGGGTATTGGCTTATAGGAATAGTGATCCAACTAAACAAAACAAGTAAATATATAAACTCAAGATAAGATAAATGATTGACGAAAAATAGATTGACAATATGCTAGAGTTCAACCTTTTACCAACAACACTCCAACGTAGCTCTTCCAATTGCATAAGTAATCAAAAACATATATGCTTTGAAGGTTGGGTTTTCCTTGTGTATGTTTTACTTGTGATATTCAAGTTAAAACGCATACCACTACATGCAATTTATCCATGACATTTGGATTAAATATAAACATGAATGATTCATTAATCTTGATGAAAATCCTTTTGTTAAACCATGTAATCCCTAAGAGTATGATATTTACCTTAGGAGAAATTACAATCCTCAATCACAAGAAGCATAACCAATTTTAACGTGACATTCGTTCAAAATTGCATCCAATGACTTTTCTAAGCATCCTAATGGTGATTAATCATCAAGACACATAGATGGTTTAATTTAGAGATTGAAAATATCAAGGCAAGCATGTAACAACACTTAAGCAATTGAAAGAGAAATCTACGTAATCATGTTGCAGCTCATGGCCTCACTCTAGCGAAAAGAAATTAGTTACACATAATTATTTGAATACATAAGAAATTATCCATGAAGAATCAAATAAAGAGACAACCCTTTTTTACAAGGAGGTTATCTCCTGATGCTTTCCGATCCTCCTTCCATGTGGAGCTGCGGCTCCCTTATTTTTCTGCTATGTTGCTCTCCCTTCTTTTGCTCTCTGCCGTTTGCCCTTTCCTTTAATCTCTGCCGTGCTCTCCCTCTATGGTTCTAATCCTTTGCTCTCTACCCTTCTCCTTTGTCTTGCCGTGTGTTGCCTTAAACAAAAGGCCATGATTTTTCAAAGCACCAAGGCCACAAGTGGAAGACAAGCCTCATCCCACTTCCTAGTGCTCCACTTTATCCTCACTCCCCCACTTTGCTTTTTGATTTCTTTTTCAAACACCACCCGTGGAGACAAGCTCCACTTCCAATTCTTTTGTTTGTTTTTATTATTTCATTTTCTCCTTTTTGCTTGAAATTGATCCTAAAGCAAATTTAACTGCACACTAACACAAGGTAAGGTAAAATGCAACCATTTTAACACAAAAACATCACAAAGACTTTAGAAATGGATGGTATAAATGCATGAAATATATGAGTGATCAAATACCCCAAACT